GCAGCACAGATGTAAAGCACTCAGGGATGGTGGTGAAGTTACAGCAGAAACTACAAGCTTCATTTGGAACAATACAGATAAAAGGTTAAAGGGGACACAGTTTCAGGAACTTCTTTTTCTCTCTGTATTAATATATATCATATTATACTGGTAAATTCTCATAAAACCAGTGGCTGATTTTCCTATGAGTTTGGCTACTGGTACCAAAAGAGAGAAAATTGATTCTGAGGATGGTCTTGGGGTCACTTCCATTCCTCATTTAAGGAACTGCAATCCCAGATGGCATTTACCTTAGTTCTAATATACAGTGCATCTGAACTGGGAGCATGGGGCAGTGTGAGGCAGTGTGCCCTGACAGAATGGCCATGGAGGAGGCTTTGAGTAAAACATGTCCTTCCCTTCTCATTGCTCCTTTGCTCCACAGGCAAGCACAGCTTTGCTTTCTGCTGCCATGCTCACTCACACCTGTCTCTAGCCTTCACCATATGCAGCTCCATTTGCAACTTCTAAATTATTTCTAACTCTGTATAAGTGACGAGATCCCCAAGTTCAGTTGATCCCATTTCCTTAACCTCAAATATGTAATTTCAAGCGAAGTAGAAGACAGTTCTGTATTTTCTGAACCATTTTGCCAGGCAGGCTTTTCAATGATCTCCCCAGCTTGTGTGCATTAGAAACAGAAGGGACACATTCTGAGGTGCCAACATGATGGTTGCTTGTTGTGCACACCCTGTTATGGCACCCTTGGCCTCATGGCTCCTCGGGTAATGTGTGTGGGAAATACTCAGCTGATGACAGCCCAGCCCTTTTCTGCTCATTGGTTTGGAACAGAAGCTCTTTGGGAAGATGCAGTGGAAGTGTCAGACTTATGCTGCTTTTCAGGAAGCTTTTTCTTAACCTCCCAGAGATAGGGGACTTCAAATTGAAAAAAGTTTTAACCTTTGCCATGACTGGTAACAGCTTGATAAGTTTTTAAATGCAGACATCTAAAAGCCTGTAGCAAGAAACAAATATGTATCACTGCTTTCAAAATATCGGGGTTTAAGACAGCTCTGGTTCTTGGAAATGTGTTTGTGCTTTCTGTCTGTTTGGATTGGGTTTTTCTTATCTGCTTCACTTTTCAGAGTGTTTTACACTTGCAATTTAGACCTCAGTAGGTTTTGTTTAGCTGCTCAGTTGCAGCTGCTGAATCTCAACCTTGGGCTGACCAGTCCTTGGACTGTGGCCTTGACAAGGTGCAAACTCCTACTCCAGATGAGACTGAGTTGTCACAGACCCCTACAAAGAGTAGGACAGTCAAAACCAGAGAGGTTGACACTCTGTTTGCATTTATGGCAGCATAAGATAAATAAGTGTTATTAAAGTGTTACTCATCATGCACATTGTTATGGTGCAAAGTCAGTGGAGGTGACAGGAGCTGGGGGATGAAGCAGCTGACAGCCACTCCTGGCCCTCACAGCCTTTCATCCCCGTGGACCAAGCTGAACTTTCAGATCTATATTAAGACAGGGCAGGCTCTCTGAGACATGATCTCCAGATACAGAATGCACACTGACCTCCTGCAACCTGTCCTAAATAAAATGCAAAAGGACTTGGCCTGCAGTCAGCTCCCCAAAGAGTGAACCACAGGGAAGGGTCCGGGTTCAAATTACTGTTTGTTTTTCAGTAGGTGGGAAGGCAGCACACGTGCTTGGCGCTGGAGGACAGCAGATCTGCAGTGAATACCGCTGAGACTTATTTACCCTTGCAAAAATACATCCTCCACTCTCTGAAGGGTCAGCCCTCCAAAATGAGAGCAAAGAGATGCAATGAGGCGGCACCTGCTCCCCCGGCTGCTGCTGCCAGCCTGCCGGGCATGGCAGGGTAAAGCCACCGTGGGGGAAAGATGCTCTGCCCCGGAAAGTCTGGAGTCTGCTCAGGAGATGGCTGCAAAAAGGCCACCAAAATAAACAAGGAGAGCCGACACCACAACCCCTGTGGTTAAGGCAATAGTGGATCCCGGTGCCCGAGGTGGTACAGATCAGCCACAGGGGAGGAATCAGGCCCCATGGGAAGAGATCCTTCCCCGGCAAAGGTCCGTGCTTGGAGCATCCCAAGCCCAGGGCCAGCTGGGAGCAGCCGTGCTGTGGGGTAGCTGTGGGTGTGCTGGCTGTGAGTGCGGGCGGCAAGCGGGCTGTGCCTCTGGCTGCTCGGGGCCGGCACAGCTTCGGGGGCCGGGAGCGGCCTCCGGCCTGCCCCGCTCCTGCCTCACCCAGCCCAGCGCCTCGGGCCGCTCAGTGCAGTAAAAGCCTCACGGTGAGAAACATACAGTTCGTCCATTAACAAAGAAATCCATGCTACTTAAATCGCTACCCCACTGGAATCTGGTAAATCCAGGACTGTCTGCAGCCCCAGAGAAATGGCAGTGCTCTGTCATGGTTTGGCCTGGGAGGAGGATGGAGACTTGCCCTGAGGAGCAGCCAGCCCCTCTCCCACAGCAGCACAGCTGAGCAGCGCTGGCGCAGACAGCGGCTGCAGACAGCTGTTGCATTTCTGCAAGGCTTCTCCCAAAGCATCTCAGAACACAACAAAAGAGAAATGAACCTAAAAATTATATGCGTAGGAAGAAAAATGAGAGTTACAATTTCTAGTGTGCCTGTTTAATTTGGGTACCCAGTGCAAGTGGCTCAGGGAGTATTTTTACAAATGCTCCTTGTGGTACAGGCAAAAGTTGTAGAAATTCTTCTGAAGATGAAGGTCTCAAGCAGAGATCTTAGAGCACAGCTACATAATAATTTGAAACACTAGTAAATAAAATGTGAATTTTGCCTTGGGCAGTATAGAAAGCTTGTATTTGATGCAGGAATTTGCACAGTTCTCCTTGATGCCTGCTATGTTTTGATAGGCCCAGTTTTGACCACCATCCCTACATGTTATATCAGCTTTTCTCAGTGATGTTTTTTTTTTTTTATTTATTTATTTATTTATTCTTCCTCTGGAAAGAACATAAGTGTACAATCTTATTCCTAACCCTAGGGAAAGCAAATGTCTCTATGACATCATACTTGTTTGGTCCTCTTGCAATATCATGATAAATCAGAGGAAGTTTGAAGTTTAAATGCTTACAAAAATAAATTTTTGCTTCTGGAAGCATGTAACTTTTTTATCACGTGCTGCATTTCAAAGCCTGGGTCTCATATATTTTTATTTCCATACCTAGGGAATCTTTTTATCAAGGAGCTCTCTGTGATGAGCTTTTAATATCCTCAAATACATGTATTCTGTCATCTTCTGCAAGGACCTAAATTTTTTCTATACTCTACAACACAGTTATAGGCAGAGCCACTTCAGTAAACCTATAGAGGTAAGTGGTTCTTCTTTTCTGATGTCCTCAGCTGAAGCCCAGAGTCAGCAGCTCCTAAAGGCCAATAGCAACAATTTCAAATGATATTTAGCACATCTATTTCTATCAGAAATCTGATATTCTTTATATGCTGAATAACACTGTTTATTAACACATTCACTGCAAAACAGATTGTTCAAAGGAGCAGTGGGATCTATGACTTTCTTTGGCAATTTAAGAGATTTATATGTGCAGGAAATTTCTAGAAGGAAACTAAAGCTAAAGTGCACATCATACATATGCAATAGTTAAAGTGTTGTGTAGGATATCTTAAATTTTAATATAGGTGAAAGCGAGGAGTTTAATGACATTTAAAGTTTAAAGAAAGAAAAAAAAAAAATCCCTGACTTCTTTGTTCTCAGTTTGGTTTATATTGAACAAAGTCTTGATGTCCCTGATGTCCCATCAGTGAACCTATCAGTCCCACCTCTCCCCACCCAGCCTCCATTCTGCTCAGTCTGTAGGGAATTTTCTGTGGAAATAGAAAGTTGTCACCTATGTTTAATTTAGAAATCAACACCTATAAACTATCTTCCTCTCTGTCAAAAACAGACATCTACCAACACACAAATACCAGGAAACCTGTCCTGATGGTGAGAACAGCTGGTGCTCATTTTCACCCTCCCTACATGTTCCTCCAAAGATGAGACTAAATGAATGTTTCTATAATTAGCTAAACCAATTTATTCTATGCATTCTACCTTCAGAAAGCAACAGTCTCAGATAATTCCTTGGGTACCTGCAGGACATATCAGTTCTGGACATACCACACACATTCATGCCTGACCACATTTAGAAACCATTTCAAATATTGTCATTCCCTGAAAAATCATAGATGTGTGTGTCTATAAAAAGATACGAAACCCATATATGAAACCATAAATATTAATTTCAAAGCATATAATTGTTTTTTAACACTTTCATGCTTTTTAAAAAGTAATTGAAAGCCTTGGTTGTAATCCATCCTGCCTTTTCCTGAAACTTAGTGAATTGCCAGGCAATTCAGTAGAGCTGTTCCTATTTCTACCCAAAGTCCCTTCAGAGGGAATTCATCCTTTGTCTTTCTGCCAGAAACCTGTACTGACCCACATCCTCTCCAGCAGCATTAGGCATCAGCCCAGACCTTAAAACACAGGACCATGCAGCCACTATTAGGGGGGCATCAGTGCAGATTGTGTTTCATTAAGGCAGCTTCAATCTTACTGAGAAAAAAAGATTGTATTTCAGTGGCTCTTTTTTTAATGCAGACCTCCAGAGCAAATGTTAGCACTGTTCTTTACATCCTTTTCCTCCCATTATACCTAAAAGCTACGTTCCAACAGTGTAGCTTTTCACAGCCAGTGAGACAGCAAAGCACACAGTGCAGAATCAGTCAGGTTTCCTTGTAGAATGTGACATACACAGGATAAGCCAAAGAAGGTTTTCCCCATCAATTCTTTTTTTAAAAGTCCACAGGCTGAACTAGAAGAGATAACCAAACCATTGATGAAACACAGACTTCAACAGGAGACTAAAAATGCTGATACTCAGTACTACTGAGGGTCACACAGCACAGCTTGCTACTTGTTTTCTCAAGTTTTAAGTGTTACTTATGCTACCTTAGGGCAGAGTCTCTTACCCAAGACCAAGGGGAGCCAATGGGGGTCTCTGGATGATCTTCCTCCTCAGACGACATCCTGAGTTGGTAGTTTTTCCCTGTTCTTCACATACGCTGCTAAAGCCACTGTTGGTTTCTGCCATATACAAAAAAGCTGCCTTCAGATTTTAGCTGTAGACAACAAAGCTCCAGAGAATATAATTTCGCAGTGATCATGTTCTTGCTAATTTTACCTGCTGAAGTTCTTGGAAGCACAGTCAGAGCAAGAAACCTGAGCTCAGTAAACCAGAGCACACTTTCCTTGCAACTGACTTCTCAAGGGCTCTAGTTCAGTCAAAAGGTTAAGTGAAAAATTAGAGCCCAAAAGACACAAATTCCCTTCCAGTTGGTATCCTAACTTTCATATAAGATTTTGTGGTCAGACTGAATTAAAAGTTCCAGAAGCAGAACACAAGGAATTTTTACTGCCAACATTTTATTACTGTCTTTGATCATATTTTGTATGGATTTTAATAGTTTAATTTTTTTTCAGGACAGGTTTTTAATGCCAAAATCTAATTCTGCCTTTCTGCACAGCTGCACAACTCCACAACTGTAACTGTATGAGTGAGAAGGCAACATAGCTTTCCTGTTCCTCTGTGCAATAATATTTGAAAGAGGATAATTTTCCATTTGTTCCTTTTGGGTTTCTGTTTGTGCCTAGTTTGATACCAGTGTGTAGAATCCACACAGATCCATACAAATCTCACACTATTCACTTATCAGATAAATTTGTCCTGAATATTTTGAGACTTCTGTCTCTGTCTGAGAGGACAGCTGGGTCCAGCATCTTGAAATCACTTCTGGCAGGTGGCAGAAATAGCAGCCTTGCCACCAAAATACAGCCTAAGGTTTTGTGTCCAAATGACCACTAACTCACAGCTATGATACACTTTCACATTCACAACCTGTGGCTTGAATTTTGTTATTTATCATCCCTCTGCTTATAAGGCATCTGGCTGCAGTAGCTGGTGAAATAAAGTTGCTATCAAAACCCCTGAACCCTTCTGTTACAGGTCTAGGTTTGGACAAAGGTTTCTAAATCTTCCCACTCTTATGTAATGAAATGGCTATTTATAGCATCACACTGCAGGAAAGTCCTAGCATTAACTATGAGCTGATAACAGTTAGCAAATGAACAAATATGCCCAGCTATGCTTCCTACTTAATCCTAGGCTATATGCAAATTCAGTGAATAGGAAAATAATCAATCAATAGAAAAACACTGGAAATAAGGCACAGAGTAGAAAAATAGCCTGTTGCCAGCATGTGGTCTCTCACCACTGTATCACTAAGTAGGCAGCATGTAAAGATAGAAAGGACTAAAAAGTGACAGCCCTCTGTGCAGCCCCCTAGGCATTGTCAGCTGGAGGATTAGGGTATCACAGGCCATGGCTGGACAGTGTTTTCAACAGCAACATCAGCATCAGCATCAGCTGTGCTTGCCTCTGTTACCCTCCTCATCCCAAAATACAACATGCAAGATTGTTTAAAGTCTGAAATACTTTCCTAAAACAATTTATTCTGAGGTTTCAAGAAAAGTTGTGATATTCCAGTTGAGAGTTCAGTTCATTGCTGCATGGAGGTGCCTGTAAGCTCACTCCAGTTGCTCACTGGGCCTATAGAGCTCTGCTGGGCTCCCTCAGCATCCCTCCAACACTGTCACACAGCTGCCTGCTGCTGGCTCTGACCTGCCCCTGCTCCTGAAACCCTGGCACTGCCCCACTGCAGCCAGTCCCTGATGGACTGACTTTCCACCTGATGGGTGTCTTAGGATCACAGGACACTGACGTGAAAGGCATCTGAAAGGGATCTAATAACCAGAAAAAATTATCCTTATTTAGACTCTTTCACACGTCACATTAGAAACTCTGAATCTGAAGTATCTCAATAGCCAAGTCACCCTCAAGTTGTAGAGGAACTCTTCCAAGAGAAAGTAACACAGCACTTGTTGTAAGTAACACAGGTGCTCAAGTTACTCGTTTCTGTTAAGAACAGAAACCCATTTATTAGTTATCTGACAAATCACATTTGCTTTCTGGAACAATTTTGGGGAAGGAAATTCAATACAATTCTTCTCATTTCAGATAAACAGGGAAATGCCACACCTAATGAATTTCAGTGGCATTCCTGCCCTTGTTGAAAGGTCTATTCACCAAATTTAAAAGATAGGAACCACTGTTTGTTGGAGTAATTTTCCACTGTTCCACCCATTTCTTCTGATCAATTTTCTTTCAAGCTGTGATGGGTAAGAATAACAAATTAACAGAAGTAGCTTTAAATAATTGTAATATGCTGCATAATGTTTATTTATACAATTCTTCAAGAAGTGGGCATGCATCTTTCCCAGCACACTGCGTTCCTGAAGCCTTTGTCATTTTTTGTACCATGCGATTTCAGGAACTTTCTGCTTTCACCAGGAAGCACTAACAAGGGTGGGCATTTCTCCTTGGCAACACAGATGTATGCAGTGGCTGCTGTTCCTTCTTGCTGTCACACCCACACAGCCAGGCCACAGTTCCTTTGCCTTCTTCCCAGTGCTCCACAACTGCCCCAGCAGCTGCTTTTCCCTCACTCCCTTCCCGTTTTTGCACTCTCAGGACTTCACAGCTTTGTTGCTACTTCCCCATTTGGTGTTTTCAACCAAAGACAAATGTGGAATAGTAGATAACATAAAATTCACAGAAAATGTTCTCAGACTCACAGTTCATGTAGGCTTCACATCAGTTTTTAGATTCCTCTTCAGCCCATAGCCTCTGTGACATCCTCTAACAACAAGTTTCACTAGATAATTATGCACTATAAAAAGAAGTTTTGATGTCAGTTTTAAACAGTGTCCTGTGATTTCACTACATGACACAGGTTAAAGAGGAGCGAGTTGCTTTTTATAAACAGCATTTGCAAGTTCTGTATCATGAGAAGGAAAAAAAATTGTAATCACTCCAGAATATTTAAATATAGAAATATTAACTCATGGTAGCCTCTATGAGAACTTTCTTTTGCTGAACTGATAACTGCCATCTTCTTTTTAATATAATAATTTTTCAGCTTAAAGATTAATTTAAGATAGTCTTTAATACAATCACAACTCTACTGTACTGGAACAGCATCACTCTCTTAAAAGAGTTGCTTTTCACATTACAGTAGTTTCCATGGAGAAGTCTCATGGAGCTGTTCTCCTGTTTTGCATCTCCTACAGAGGTGAAGTTCAAGATACTACAAATTCAAACCAAACATGATTTTAGTGAGGTACTTAAGAAGGGTACACAGGGCTGCCACTCTGCTCCACCACAGGTGCCATCTTGTATGGGAGAGAACTTTGAGATTTATGGCTGATAAATAAACAGTATTTACAAGAATAATTTAAAGTCTAATAGAGAGAAATCACATCAACATAAAAGATTTCACATGCTTGCAAAAGCTCATTTATGAAAGTGTATCTTATGATGCAGAATCAGCCCTCTGATTACTGCAATAACCTCTGAGCCAATATCTGTTCTCCTAGCTGGAAATTATTCTGATAGGTAGCAACAAGTAATACCCCACTTTCCTGTCAGTCCTGACATCTCTAAGTATAAAGAATACTGGTTAATTATTGTTAATGATGCCAGTCATAATTTTCTACAACACAACAGCTCACACTGACAGAATAATACTCTGTAGTATGTTCAGTGTTTAAGTGCATAATCAATACATTGGTCATGTAGCAAGCGTGGAGAAATTTCCTTCTGTTTATATTCCTATGTAAATATAAATCAAAAATTTCCATTTCCTTGAGGATTTTAATCAAAAAGACATTTATGTATGAAGCTGCTTTATGAGGTCTTTCTTAAAATCATGGCAGTTGACTCCCAATGCCTTTTGCTCAGAGCACAGGAGTCTCACTGTTATATCTGACACCTCACCACTCCCTAGCCAAGTAGTATGTCAGCAGTGGACAATGTCAGCATTTGGACTATTGCCTCAAAACTGCCAGAGTTGTGTCCTCCACAGTCATCAATGGTTATTTTGGGAGCTGTCAAAATAGGACTGGAAATGTTATAAAAGCATTTGCAAACTACCAGAACCACTGAGTATTTATTCAGGTATAGTCTGGAGCAAGGATAAGGGACAGAAGAGAGTCACCAGGCAGAGGATATATGGGACAAGTTTTACTTTTCACTGAAGAGCTGTGCCCTTAAGGAAGTAGGAAAAAGGGAAGATTATGTTTGTTTTTTTTTTTCACACCAGTATATCTACAATATTTCAGTGGTAGCTGATGAATTATGAAGACTGGCTGCTGAGGGGATGATGTGGGAGAGGAGGACTGTGGCAGGAGGGTGGAAAGGCAGCCTGGCAGCTGGGTGTGGTGTGTGTGGTGTGGTGAGAGGCTGTGCCATGGGGCTGTGGGTGCCCAGCAGTGTGCAGGGCTGTGCTCTCTGGGCAAGCCACGCTTGGCAGAGGGATGCAAGCAGAGGCTGGGCTTTATGGTAATTGCAGTGCTTCACCACCCTGAGAAACAGCTCTGGCACAGTCATTTCTGGCACAGGCACTGTGGTTGTGGCTGGGGGATGGACCCCAGGAAGGAGGGATGGCTCACAATCCTCACTCACCCTCAAGCCAGACCAGAGCAGCAGCCTGTGCAGATAGCTGGGTCCTGTTGAGCTGGGTGCTCATGACACCCACATGAATTTGTGGGTGTCACGAGCACCCACAACTTCCAAAAAAATCTAGATTCTTTCACACTACACATAATCCCTGCCTAGGGTCCTTGTGCCCCTGCAAACACTTCCTAGTGCAGCCAGGAGCTCTACTTGCCCCCCAGCTTCTTCTATGCTGCTGGATCCATTCATAGCCCCCATTTCACTTGCTCTTCAATTTCTACCCTGTAGAGCTGTCTCTTGACCCACCTTTGGGTTTATTGTACCTCTTTCTTTTTGTGTGAGTGATACCTTCCACCACAGTGTCACAGATAGAGCCTTTGAAAATCAACCCACTCACAACCAATGTTTAGCAGCTGCTTTTATGTGCAGAGTGGGAGCGGAGATCTGCACATTCTCTATCACCACAACAGGAGGCACTTGCTAGGGATGGATGAAATGTCCTGTAGTGATTAGATACCAGATATTAGTGCTTAAGTGCTTGTCAAGAACTCTTTAACAGAGAAGAGAGGATGGTAAGAAGGAAAATAATGTCA